TCCTCAAATCATCTCTGAACAGGTGCGGACACTGTCCTTCCTTCTGGAGGGTGACTACTTTTGTTCCCCATGATCCCTGTGTGTAGACAATGCTCCAAGCTCGCTTCTGTGATGGATAAAGGCTGTGACACACTGCACGCGAAGCAGCACGGAGCGGTGGCGCGCTGCCTTTGCGAGCAGTGTGTCATGTCACTTTCTTCTCGGCACCTCAGCTTGCGAGAGCTCGCAAAGCTGAGCGTGCCGAGATGGAACAATTTCAATTTCAACTTCAGCCAATCGGCTCGCGCGTATAAACCGGCGCGACGGGATGCGACGTCTGGCCGGTTGTTACAGACGAGCCGATTGGCTGAAGTTGAAATTGAAATTGTTCCATCTCGGCACGCTCAGCTTTGCGAGCTCTCGCAAGCTGAGGTGCCGAGAAGAAAGTGACATGACACACTGCTCGCAAAGGCAGCGCGCCACCGCTCCGTGCTGCTTCGCGTGCAGTGTGTCACGGCCTTTACAGTCTCAATACAAATTGGCAAACTAAACGTGAGATTGTAGTCCATCACGGGACAGAGCTTGGAGCGGTGGCTACTTTACAACACACCCAGAGACCATGGGGAACACAAGTAGCCACTCTCCAGAAGGAAGGACGGTGCCGGCACCATTTCAGAGATTTGAGGATCTACAGCCGAGTGATGCACAGATGAGTTTAGGGTCACCTTTATTGTGAAAAAAACTGAAGAATGTACAGGACCTAGAGGCTTTTGCCAAAAATAGGCAACTTTACCACAAAAAAAGGGCCTCATTCACAACACAAGACTGCAAGTTGTCAATGATGCTGAAGAGGGCAATACAGGATATGAAGTACTAGGTGCATGCAAACTTTTGAACGGGGCCATTTTTATATGTTCCTTTTTTTGCTATGGTTTAATTGTGCCATTTTGTAAAGCCTAATGGTTTCATTTGACTTGCAATAAAACAAAAATATATGTTTGGTCTGATCGCTCATTCTTAAATGGTCCACATCTACAGTTTGTCAAGGCAACTATATATTGATGTTCCAGTACTTTGAGCTTCTATATACATCATAAAACAGTAAGTGACAATGCTGATCAATTTGCTGATGGATTGAGACATTCTACACCTCCCATCTCTGAAGTGTTAAAAGCAAAGTGCAGCATTATTCAGACAGCCTGCTTAGTATGCCCAGGAGAGCTTTTTTAAGTCGCAGGCACAGAGAGAGAAATTCAGAAGTTTTTTGCAGTGTGAACTCTGCTGATACAGCACTGACTGGGGCAAGTATTATCATGACTAACAAAATGTACCAAAGGGATAAAAATTGTTGATCTGTTCCATATACTCGTAATACCTTTTTTGTTGGTTTTTGGATAGAACAGTCTTCCCCATTGCCAAGTTTAAATTTTGGGGTGACTGTAGATCTACATTGCAATATGGTTACAAACACTGAACCTATTCTAGTATTTTGCTCTTATATTGGTTTGTATGGCCAGCCTTCTGTATATTCAGGTCTCCTTTTTAATTCGTAAAGTACCCAAAAACAAAAAAGTTTAGGTTATAGATGCAGAGTAGTTATGGTTTAAAAAAAAAAAAACCTGTTGGGGTTTTTTGTTGTCTATTGCGTTGGTGAAATTTTGCATTCACTTCCTAACCCAGAGACGCAACAATTTCCCTTTTAGGCAGTTTTCATCGGGTGTCACCATTGGAAGATTTTTTCAAGACTTTTGCAGGGGGGGGGCAAAGTAGTCAGGTTTCTGGCTGTCTGCACACATTAGCCAGCAGGGGAGATTGTCCATCCGCTCAGTTGTCTTGCTCAGCCCACAGAGGGTGGAACTGTTTACTGCCAGCTTTACAATGATCACAAGACAAAAAAAAGGGATTTGCACCAGTGGGTCATAATGCCAATAAAACCTGACATGGGTTCTAAACCCTTCACTACTTTATCTAAAACATATTGGCCTTGGATAAACTTTTGCCTATAGATGTACCTAAAAGGAGCACACATGGGAGTCTGCCACCACCAACTTCTCATTCTGCAAACACTATTTGCCTGCTTGACTCTTTCTTTAAGATTTGGAGTCACTGATGCAGAGCAAGTATGCAGGTCAAGACTTCTGAAGTTCCTCATGTGACTCATGGAGGGAATTAATCAAATTTGGAGCAGTTGTCATTGGTAACCAATTCGCTTCTCTTTTCAGTTATTCTTTGTAAATGAAATACACTGGTTACTATGGGCGATTGCTCCAGATTCTGTCTGCCCCAATTTAGAAAATGCCCCTCTAAGTTTAAGTAAGGTCTTAGCATTTTCAGAACGTTTGCAGTGTTGGTCCGCTATTTCTCAGAGAAGGTTTACGCTAAAGTGTACATCTAGCCTAAACTGGGAAAAGAATAGGAACCTTGTCAGGTTTTCACTGTTATCTTGCTTCCTGTCTGGTGACACTATTGCCTCATCTTCTATGATTAAGTGCGGCTGAAGCCAATAATTCATTTTACATTTTGTGTGGAGTGGTGTTAGAAAAACCTATCTGGTTTCTCTTGCTGTCTTATGTTCCCATTAGGGAAATTCGCCCTCCTCGATTTGTCCTGGTGACCGTTATGACTGAAAGTAGATGCCACATTTTGGGTTGTCACCAGAACGGGAATAAATGGGAAATCTTCCAATGGGTACATTCTGGTGACCCCGCTGAGCACCAGGGATTTCCTCTCCCTTCCTGTTGTGGATGTTTGGCAAGAAATGAAGGGGTATCTCTCCAATGGGACACAGATGGCAACCACAAAAAATCTAGCAGGGTTTATCACCCTCCCTTACTCCAAAACTTAAATGTTTTGGCATCAGTTCTTCTGTTTTACCCATGCACCATAACGATACAAGTGTGGTATATCCTTCACACAAACTAAAGCTGGGTACCCACGGTCATATTTTAGTTCACTGCACATGGTGTGAATGAGCCCTTAATGGCACTGTGAAGCAGGGTGGTTTCCCCTTTATTATTTTGGCTGCTAACAACCTTTTGTCTAACATAGTTTTGCATGATCTGCATTTTGATTTTTACAGCTAATGTATGTGGGCATCAATTATGGGGAGACTTGGCTAGTCCTCTCACCAAGTGTGGACCATTTCTAGTATTGACTTGCAGATTGGTATCACTTTGTATGATTTTTCTATGACCCTCTATGGAAGGATGACTTTATTTATACCTGGCCCATATATATAACTTGTATGGACGAGGACCCTTATGAGTTTCCTCAGATGTGATATCATGGCTGGCCAGTACAAGACGGAGAAGTCTGATGGGGGTGATGACGTACAGGATGTGTAGTGGAATATAATGGCAGTGCCGTCCTGTGTCTGTGCTGCTCTGCATGTTGATTGTAGGACAATGGGTCCGGGGCGGCATGTTTAGACAATGGAGCTCTCCCGGCCTCAATTAGAGACATTAGAGGCATGAAAGCAGAAGGGAGATGTGAAGTCTCCATCAGTTTGCATTTGACTCTGGCAATGTCCATGGCCCGGGGCACATACAAAGACAGCCTGGTGTCCCTGCTATTGGGGAAGAGGACAGAGGAGCGGGCCCAATTCACAAAACTTTACGTCCATGTCTAGACCCGGCAATACACAGAGAGCTGCCCGGACATGTAGCCGGAGTCCGGCCTGTGTACGTGTACGGGGCACGGACCGAATACACCCCATGACACAATGGCGGCACTGTGTATTAAAGCTGAACTCGGCGGGGATGTGGGAGCAGACGTGCTAATATACCTAACATTCCTCCACTGTGACTGGGCACCGGCCACACTTCTAATTGGCACTACTAGAGGCAGCTGTATATGTATCCATCATATACAGTACACCTATATACAGTGTGTGCGCTGATGTGAGGTGGTTTTCAGACCAGTTAAGTGCATTCTGCCAGCTGACACTAATATCAAATGAGGCTTTCACTAAAAACACAATTTTATCCCCCCCCCCCCC